TATTTTATATATTTATATATATATATATATATATATATATAATATATATATATATATATATAAATATATATATATATATATATATATATATAATATAAATAATAAATATATAAATATATTTATATATATATATATATATATATATATATATATATATATATATATATAATATATATATATATATATATATATATATATATATATATATATATATATATGGGGATTTCAATGCTAAAGTGGGTAAAAATGTTATGGAGGGAGTAGTAGGTAAATTTGGGGTGCCAGGGATAAATGTAAATGGGGAGCCTTTAATTGAGCTATGTGTAGAAAGAAATTTGGTAATAAGTAATACATATTTTTATGAAAAAGAGGATAAATAAATATACAAGGTATGATGTAGCACGTAATGAAAGTAGTTTGTTAGATTATGTATTGGTGGATAAAAGGTTGATGGGCAGGCTCCAGGATGTACATGTTTATAGAGGGGCAACTGATATATCGGATCATTATTTAGTTGTAGCTACAGTTAGAGTAAGAGGTAGATGGGAAAAGAGGAAAGTGGCAACAACAAGTAAGAGGGAGGTGAAAGTGTATAAACTAAGGGAGGAGGAAGTTCGGGCGAGATATAAGCGACTATTGGCAGAAAGGTGGGCTAGTGCAAAGATGAGTAGTGGGGGGGTTGAAGAGGGTTGGAATAGTTTTAAAAATGCAGTATTGGAATGTGGGGCAGAAGTTTGTGGTTATAGGAGGGTGGGGGCAGGAGGAAAGAGGAGTGATTGGTGGAATGATGAAGTAAAGGGTGTGATAAAAGAGAAAAAGGTAGCTTACGAGAGGTTTTTACAAAGCAGAAATGTTATAAGAAGAGCAGAGTATATGGAGAGTAAAAGAAAGGTGAAGAGAGTGGTGAGAGAGTGCAAAAGGAGAGCAGATGAAAGAGTGGGAGAGGCACTGTCAAGAAATTTTAATGAAAATAAGAAAAAATTTTGGAGTGAGTTAAACAAGTTAAGAAAGCCTAGGGAAAGTATTGATTTGTCAGTTAAAAACAGAGTAGGGGAGTTAATAGATGGGGAGAGGGAGGTATTAGGTAGATGGCGAGAATATTTTGAGGAACTTTTAAATGTTAAGGAAGAATGGGAGGCGGTAATTTCATGAACTGGCCAGGGAGGTATACCATCTTTTAGGAGTGAAGAAGAGCAGAATGTAAGTGTGGTGGAGGTACGTGAGGCATTACGTAGAATGAAAGGGGGTAAAGCAGCTGGAACTGATGGGATCTTGACAGAAATGTTAAAAGCAGGGGGGGATATAGTGTTGGAGTGGTTGGTACTTTTGTTTAATAAATGTATGAAAGAGGGGAAGGTACCTAGGGATTGGCGGAGAGCATGTATAGTCCCTTTATATAAAGGGAAAGGGGACAAAAGAGATTGTAAAAATTATAGAGGAATAAGTTTACTGAGTAACCAGGAAAAGTATACGGTAGGGTTATAATTGAAAGAATTAGAGGGAAGACAGAATGTAGAATTGCGGACGAGCAAGGAGGCTTCAGAGTGGGTAGGGGATGTGTAGATCAAGTGTTTACATTGAAGCATATATGTGAACAGTATTTAGATAAAGGTAGGGAAGTTTTTATTGCATTTATGGATTTAGAAAAGGCATATGATAGAGTGGATAGAGGAGCAATGTGGCAGATGTTGCAAGTATATGGAATAGGTGGTAAGTTACTAAATGCTGTAAAGAAACTTCTATGAGGATAGTGGAGGCCAGTTAGGGTGTGTAGAAGAGAGGGAGAATACTTCCTGGTAAAAGTAGGTCTTAGACAGGGATGTGTAATGTCACCATGGTTGTTTAATATATTTATAGATAGGGTTGTAAAAGAAGTAAATGCTAGGGTGTTCGGGAGAGGGGTGGGATTAAATTATGGGGAATCAAATTCAAAATGGGAATTGACACAGTTACTTTTTGCTGATGATACTGTGCTTATGGGAGATTCTAAAGAAAAATTGCAAAGGTTAGTGGATGAGTTTGAGAATGTGTGTAAAGGTAGAAAGTTGAAAGTGAACAAGAAAAGAGTAAGGTGATGAGGGTATCAAATGATTTAGATAAAGAAAAATTGGATATCAAATTGGGGAGGAAAGGAGTAAGGAAGAAGTGAATGTTTTCAGATACTTGGGAGTTGATGTGTTGGCGGATGGATTTATAAAGGGATGAGGTTAATCATAGAATTGATGAGGGAAAAAAGGTGAGTGGTGCGTTGGGGTATATGGGGAGTCAAAAAACGCTATCTATGGAGGCAAAGAAGGGGAAAAGTATAAAAAGTATAGTAGTACCAACACTCTTATATGGATTGAAGCTTGGGTGGAAAATGCAGCAGCGGGAGAACGGTTGGAGGCAGGGGAGATGTCCTGTCTAAGGGCAATGTGTGGTGAAAATATTATGCAGAAAATTCGGAGTGTGGAAATTAGGAGAAGGTGTGGTTTTTAATAAAAGCATTAGTCAGAGGGCAGAAGAGGGGTTGTTGGGGTGGTTTGGCCCATTTAGAGAGAATGGATCAAAGTAAATGACATGGAAAGCATATAAATCTATAGGGGAAGGAAAGAGGGGTAGGGTCGTCCTCGAAAGGGTTGGAAAGAGGGGGTAAAGGAGTTTTGTGGGTGACGGGCTTTTGGGCTTCCCCGCAAGCGTGCATGAGCGTGTTAGATAGGAGTGAATGGGGACGAATGATACTTGGACCTTACGATCTGTTTTGGAGTGTGAGCAGGGTAATATTTAGTGAAGGGATTCAGGAAACCGGTTATTTTCATAAAAGTCGGACTTGAGTCCGGAAATGGGAAGTACAATGCCTGCACTTTAAAGGAGGGTTTGGGATATTGGCAGTTTGGAGGGATATTTGTGTATCTCATACGTATATGCTTCTAAACTGTTGTATTCTGAGCACCTCTGCAAAAGCAGTGATAATGTTGAGTGTGTGAAAGTGTTAATGATGATGAAAGTATTTTCTTTTTGGGATTTTCTTTCTTTTTTTTTGGGGCACCCAACCTCGGGGGGAGACGACCGACTTGTTGAAAAATAATATATATATATATATATATATATATATAATATATATATTATTTTATATATATATATATATATATATATATAATATAAATATATATATATGTTGGAAAAAAAATATATATATATATATATATATATATATATAATATTATATTTAAAATAATATATATTTTATAAAATATAAACGTATTAATATAATATAATATACAATTTTTTTTTTTTTCAACAAGTCGGCCATCTCCCACCGAGGCAGGGTGACCCAGGAAAGAAAGAAAATCCCCAAAAAGAAAATACTTTCATCATCATTCAACACTTTCACCACACTCGCACATTATCACTGTTTTTGCAGAGGTGCTCGGAATACAACAGTTAAGAAGCATACACATATAAAGATACACAACATATCCCTGCAAACTGCCAATATCCCAAACCCCTCCTTTAAAGTGCAGGCATTGTACTTCCCATTTCCAGGACTCAAGTCCGACTATATGAAAATAACCGGTTTCCCTGAATCCCTTCACTAAATATTACCCTGCTCACACTCCAACAGATCGTCAGGTCCCAAGTACCATTCGTCTCCATTCACTCCTATCTAACACGCTCACGCACGCTTGCTGGAAGCCCAAGCCCCTTGCCCACAAAACCTCCTTTACCCCCTCTCTCCAACCCTTTCGAGGATGACCCCTACCCCGCCTTCCTTCCCCTATAGATTTATATGCTTTCCATGTCATTCTACTTTGATCCATTCTCTCTAAATGACCAAACCACCTCAACAACCCCTCTTCTGCCCTCTGACTAATACTTTTATTAACTCCACACCTTTTCCTAATTTCCACACTCTGAATTTTCTGCATAATATTTACACCACACATTGCCCTTAAACAGGACATCTCCACTGCCTCCAACCGTCTCCTCGCTGCTGCATTTGCCACCCAAGCTTCACACCCATGTAAGAGTGTTGGTACTACTATACTTTCATACGTTCCCTTCTTTGCCTCCATAGATAATGTTTTTTGACTCCACATATACCTCAACGCACCACTCACCTTTTTTCCCTCTATCAATTCTATGATTAACCTCATCCTTCATAAATCCATCCGCCGACACGTGAACTCCCAAGTATCTGAAAACATTCACTTCTTCCATACTCCTCCTCCTCAATTTGATATCCAATTTTTCTTTATCTAAATCATTTGGTACCCTCATCACCTTACTCTTTTCTATGTTCACTTTCAACTTTCTACCTTTACACACATTTCCAAACTCATCCACTAACCTTTGCAATTTTTCTTTAGAATCTTCCATAAGCACAGTATCATCAGCAAAAAGTAACTGTGTCAAGGTTGATAATATCTTTATATTTAGATTATTCCTAGGTAGTGGGTTGGTAGACAGCAACCACCCAGGGAGGTACTATCGTCATGCCAGGCGAGTGTAAAATGGAAGCCTGTAATTGTTTTACATGATGGTAGGATTGCTAGTGTCTTATTTTCTGTCTCATAAACATGCAAGATTACAGGTATGTCTTGCTACTTCTACTTACATTTAGGTCACACTGCACCTGCACATACAAGCATATGTACACAGACCCTTCTGGGTTTTCTTCCGTTTTTCTTACTAGTTCTTGTTCTTGTTTAATTCCACTTATCTCCATGGGGAAGTGGAACAGAATTATTCCTCCATAAGCCATGCGTGTTGTAAGAGGCACCGAAAATGCCAGGAGCAAGGGGCTAGTAACCTCTTCTCCTGTATATATTACTAAATGTAAAAGGAGAAACTTTTGTTTTTCCTTTTGGGCCACCCCGCCTCAGTGGGATATGGCTGGTGCGTTGAAAGAAAGATTGATTGAGGTTTTTTTATATAAGCTGTATAAAGCGCTACATGTATATCCAACCTGTTCATAAAATTGCATATTCTTAAGTTTTTATTACAAACTGTATTTGCAGGGAATCGAATGGAGGTGCCACATCCATGCGACAATGGTACAGCAGGTTTTAACTGCTCAGAACTCAACAAAGATGGTCAATTTTGGGTATGCCGAGATGGTTGGGAAGGGCCCAATTATGGCATCACAAACTTTGATAATTTTGGCCTCGCAATGCTGACAGTTTTCCAGTGCATTACCATGGAGGGCTGGACAGACATGATGTATTATGTAAGTGCTGTAATTGATCTGTAAAAAAGTGGTAGGTTAATTTGGATACAATCTCCTTAGATATAAGGGGAATGGGAATTTTATTTCATGTGCTACATATGCTTTTTCTATATCTGTGGCCCTGTAAATTTTTAATGCTTTTTTCCATTTAGTTTTGTCCTACTGTTTAATCTCTCTATTATTCTGGGTATTAGATGGTGAAAGCTAACAAATTCTGAATCAGACAGAGTAAACCTTTTTTTTTTTTTTTTTATGAGTAAACCCGTTTATTCAAATTGTTTTTCTCAGTGAGCCTTTGTCAAGTACGTATATCTAGACAGTCTCATAGTAATTGAAATCTCATTACTCTGTGTCTTGATTCACCACTTCAGATTTCTGTGTCATAACTTTACAGAGGGCTGAAGAGGGTTTGTTGAGGTGGTTTGGTTATTTAGAGATAATGGATTAAAGTAGAATGACATGGAGAGCGTATAAATCTGTAGGGGAAGGAAGGTGGGGTAGGGGTCGTCCTTGAAAGGGTTGGAGGGAGGGGGTAAAGGAGGTTTTGTGGGTGAGGGGCTTGGACTTCCAGCAAGCGTGCGCGAGTGTGTTAGGAGTGAATGGAGACGAATGGTATTTGGGACCTGACAAGCTGTTGGAGTGTGAGCAGGGCAATATTTAGTGAAGGGATTCAGGAAAACCAGTTATTTTATATAGCTGGACTTGAGTCCTGGAAATGGGAAGAACAATGCTTGCACTTCAAAGGAGGGGTTTGGGATATTGGCAGTTTGGAGGGATATGTTGTGTATCTTTTAACGGTGAAATCGACTTAAGCGTTTCATTGTAAAAAATTTCCCCTGACCTACGAACAAAAACTCGACTTACATCATTCGTCCCGAACGTGTCCACGCATCCCTCTGGCCTGAGCGCGGCTTAGCTGCCCTGCCCTGAGTTAGTGTGCCAATGTTTACAAGCCAGTGTGGTCGCTTTCACGAATACATTCCTTACATTTTGTATTATTCCAGTGTTTTTAGTGCTTGTAACTGCTAAATAAGCCACCATGGGCCCAAAGAAAGCTTCATGTGCCAGCCCTGTGGTAAAAAGGGTGAAAATTACAATCGAAATGAAGAAAGAGATGATCGCAAAATATGAGAGTGGAGTACGTGTCTCTGAGCTGGCGAGGTTGTACAACAAACCCCAATCAACCATCACTGCTATCTTGGCCAACAAAAAGGCAATCAAGGAAGCTGTTGTTGCAAAAGCTGCAAGTATCTTTTCGAAACACAGATCGCAAGTACTCGAAGATGTTTAGAGACTGTTATTGGTGTGGATAAACGAAAAACAGATAACAAGAGATAGCATCTCTCAAGCGATCATATGTGAAAAGGCAAGGCAGTTGCATGACGATTTAATTAAAAAAATGCCTGCAGCTAGTGGTGATGTTAGTGAATTTAAGGCCAGCAAAGGTTGGTTTGAGAGATTTAAGAATCGTAGTGGTATACACAGTGTGATAAGGCATGGTGAGGCTGCCAGTTCGGACAAAAAAGCGGCTGAAAAATATGTGCAGGAATTCCAGGGGTACATAGAGGCTAAAGGATTGCAACCTTAAGTGTTTAATTGTTATGAAACAGACCTATTTTGGAAGAAAATGCCAAACAGGACCTACATTACACGGGAGGAAAAAGCACTCACAGGGTGAAGCCTCTACTCGTGTATCACTCTGAAACTCCCAGTGTTCAGGAAAAACAATGTCGTCAAGGCTAATTTGTGTGTGATGTGGAGGGCAAACAGTAAGGCATGGGTCACTAGGGACATTTTCTATGACTAGTTTTACCATTTGTTTGGCCCCACTGTCAAAAATTACCTCCTGGAAAATGGACCTTAAGTGCCTCCTGGTATTAGACACTGCTCCTGCTCATCCTTCAGACTTGCCAGAGCGAATTTCGGGGGAGTTAAGTTTTATTAAAGTAAAGTTTTTGCCTCCTAATACCACTCCTCTCCTCTCCTCTAGCCCATGGACCAGCAGGTCATTTCAAATTTCAAAAAACTGTACACCAAAGCAATGTTTCAAAAGTGCTTTGAAGTGACCTCAGACACTCGATTGACCCTAAGAGAGTTTTGGAAAGATCACTTAAGTATCCTCAGTTGCACAAACCTTATAGGTAAGGCTTGGGAGGGAGTGGCTAACAGGACCTCGATCTCTGCTTGGAGGAAATTGTGGCCACAATGTGTACAAGAGAGGGATTTTGAAGGGTTTGAGGCTAACCCTGAGGAGCCTATGCCTGTTGTGGAATCTATTGTTGCATTGGGGAAGTCCTTGGGGTTGGAGGTTAGTGAGGAGGATGTGAAAGAGTTGGTGGAGGAGGACGATGAAGAACTAACCACTGATGAGCTGCAAGAGCATGTGCAACAGGAAGAGGCAACAACTGAAGAAATTGTTTCAGAGGAGGGGAGAGAGAAATTGAGGAAGTTGCCTTCTTCAAAGATTAAGGAAATTTGTGCAAAGTGGGTTGGACGCGCAAACCTTTATGGAAGAAATTCACCCTGACGCAGCTATTGCAAGCCGTGCTGGTGACTTTTACAAGGACAGTGTTGTGACCCACTTTAGGAAAATCTTAAAGGAATGCGAGGTACAGAGCTCTATGGACAGTTTTTTGGTGTGACAGAGGTCCAGTGACTCAAGTTATTCCCAGTGGCATTAAAAAACAAAGAAGGGAAGTAACCAGGAAAAGGACTTGCTACCTAAAGTCCTTATGGAAGGGGATTCCCCTTCCAAAAAATAATAAACCTCCATCTCCCCTCCTCCCATCCCATCACACATCACTACATCTTCAATAAAGGTAAGTGTCATTTATTCTTCATTTAATATAGTACATGCACAATATGCTATAGTGTGCATGTATCCTTCTTTTTGTATGTAAGAAAATGTATATTTCATGTGGTAGAATTTTTTTTTCATGCTTTTGGGTGTCTGGAACAGATTAATTGGATTTCCATTATTTCTTATGTGGAAAATTAATTCAGCTTACGATACTTTCGTCTAATGATGAGCTCTCTGGAACGGATTAATATCGTAAGTCGAAGGTCCACTGTAAATAGTTTATATGAAAATACTGCAATTGTTTAATTTATTTTTGCATATGTTTGGTTTTGCTGATAACCAAAAGTTTAATTTCAGTACAAAGGGGAATTTGTTACTTTTCAAGCAACATTGTTTGAAGCAACTTATTTTTATGGGAGAAGAAATTTTTTTGTAATAATTTTCCTTAAATCTGCATGTATTGAGATGTGTAACTTATTAAATACTATCTTGTTTTATAAGAAATAATGTCAAATTTTGTCAACAAAGTTTATTTAAAACTGTAGTGTTTCCAAATAATTAAATAACTAATAATTAATAATAAAATTAATGATAATAAATATTCTCTAGATTGCAGATGCCATGGGCAACAGTTGGCAGTGGATCTTCTTTGTTTCCATGATTATTCTGGGTGCCTTCTTCGTCATGAATCTGATTCTTGGTGTCCTCAGTGGGTGAGTTTTGTTCTGTTTGTCTTTGCTATACATGTACTAGGATAATATAGAGCTCAAAGAAGTAATAACTTTACCCTTTCACTGTCAAGTGTTTTAAAAGAAAAAAAGAATTTTGCGTCAAGTACGTACCGAGATAGAGGCGTGAAGTGACAGAAAGTGAACTGCTTATGGCAACATTGGTGACTGCCACTCTTGGTAATATTATTTTCACTTTTATTCTGTTTTCTTTCTTAATATTTTATTTTTTTCAAGTAACTTTTGTGGCCTATGAGACCAGTATAATGCATAATGTATGTATACACTCGTTGTATGTAACACAATAACTTAACAAATAGTTATTATATTGTTTACAAAACTTGTTTACAGAAACCCACACTGTCTTCCCCACCACCTACACTGGAAATAAGTCACTTTGACTTTTTTGGGTTGTCATAGGTTCTCTACACATGCTGCTATGTATGATAATCTATATACAGGTCTCTCTCAACATTCGTGTTTTCAACTTTTGCTGGCTTGACACATCTGCCAAATCATATTTAAGTTTCCGGCCACCCACGCGTCCCTACTATCCTCCCTCCAACCCCCGCAACTGGCAGCCAGCTCACCCGCCACTCAGTGTGATGAGTGTTTTGTTTGTTCGTTATTTGCTATTAAACTACAGTATAAATAATGTCAACCCATTCATGACTGTATATAGGAATGGCCATTTGGACAGGTATTGGATGGTGACATCATTTCTTTACTCTTGAACACGGCAAATAATAATAATAATAATAGCTACAGTTAGAATAAGAGGTAGATGGGATAAGAGGAAAATGGCAACAAGTAAGAGGGAGGTGAAAGTGTATAAACTAAGGGAGGAGGAAGTTTGGGTGAAAAAAAAGCAGCTATTGGCAGAAAGGTCGGCTGGTGCAGGTATGAGTAGTGGGGGGGTTGAAGAGGGTTGGAATAGCTTTAAAAATACAGTATTAGAATGTGGGGCAGAAGTTTGTGGTTATAGGAAGGTGGGTGCAGGAGGAAAGAGGAGTGGTGGAATGATGAAGTAAAGGGTGTGATAAAAGAGAAAAAGGTAGCTTATGAGAGGTATTTACAAAACAGAAGTGTTATAAGAAGAGCAGAGTATATGGAGAGTAAAAGAAAGGTGAAGACAGTGGTGAGGGAGTGCAAAAGGAGAGCAGATGATAGAGTGGGAGAGGCACTGCCAAGAAATTTTAATGAAAATAAGAAAAAATTTTGGAGCGAGTTAAACAAGTTAAGAAAGCCTAGGGAACAAATGGATTTGTCAGTTAAAAACAGAGTAGGGGAGTTAGTAGATGGGGAGATGGAGGTTTTGGGTAGATGGCGAGAATACTTTGAGAAACTTTTAAATGTCGACGAAGAAAGGGAGGTGGTAATTTCATACACTGGCCAGGGAGGTATACCATCTTTTAGGAGTGAAGAAGAGCAGGATGTGAGTATGGGGGAGGTGCGTGAGGCATTACGTAGAATGAAAGGGGGTAAAGCAGCTGGAACTGACGGGATCATGACAGAAATGTTAAAAGCAGGGGGGACATAGTGTTGAAATGGTTGGTATTTTTGTTTAATAAATGTATGAAAGAGGGGAAGGTACCTAGGGATTGGCGGAGAGTGTGTATAGTCTCTTTATATAAAGGGAAGGGGGACAAAAGAGATTGTAAAAATTATAGAGGAATAAGTTTACTGAGTATACCAGGAAAAGTGTACGGTAGGGTTATTATTGAAAGAATTAGAGGTAAGACAGAATGTAGAATTGCGGATGAGCAAGGAGGTTTTAGAGTGGGTAGGGGATGTGTAGATCAAGTGTTTACATTGAAGCATATATGTGAGCAGTGTTTAGATAAAGGTAGGGAAGTTTTTATTGCTTTTATGGATTTAGAAAAGGCATATGATAGTGGATAGGGAAGCAATGTGGCAGATGTTGCAAGTGTATTGAATAGGTAGTAAGTTACTAAATGCTGTAAAGAGTTCTTATGAGGATAGTGAGGCTGAGGGTAGGGTGTGTAGAAGAGGGGGAGACTATTTCCTGGTAAAAGTAGGTCTTGGACAGGGATGTGTAATGTCACCATGGTTGTTTAATATATTTACAGATGGGGTTGTAAAAGAAGTAAATGCTAGGGTGTTCGGGAGTGGGGTGGGATTAAATTATGGGGAATCAAATACAAAATGGGAAGTGACACAGTTACTTTTTGCTGATGATACTGTGCTTATGGGTATTCTAAAGAAAAATTGCAAAAGTTAGTGGATGAATTTGGGAGTGTGTGTAAAGGTAGAAAGTTGAAAGTGAACATAGAAAAGAGTAAGGTGATGAGAGTATCAAATAATTTAGATAAAGAAAAATTGGAAATCAAATTGGGGAGGAGGAGTATGGAAGAAGTGAATGTTTTCAGATATTTGGGAGTAGACGTGTCAGTGGATGGATTTATGAAGGATGAGGTTAATCATAGAATTGATGAAGGAAAAAAGGTGAGTGGTGCATTGAGGTATATGTAGAGGCAAAAAATGTTATCTGTGGAGGCAAAGAAAGAAATGTATGAAAGTATAGTAGTACCAACACTCTTATGTGGGTGTGAAGCTTGGGTTGTAAATGCTGCAGCGAGGAGGCGGTTGAAGGCAGTGGAGACGTCCTGTCTAAGGACAATGTGTGGTGTAAATATTATGCAGAAAATTTGGAGTGTGGAAATTAGGAGAAGGTTTGGAGTTAATAAAAGTATTAGTCAAAGGGCTGAAGAGGGTTTGTTGAGGTGGTTTGGTCATTTAGAGAGAATGGTTCAAAGTAGAATGACATGGAGAGCGTATAAATCTGTAGGGGAAGGAAGGCGGGGTAGAGGTCGTCCTCGAAAAGGTTGGAGGGAGGGCGTAAAGGAGGTGTTGTGGGTGAGGGGTTTGGACTTCCAGCAAGCGTGCGTGAGCTTGTTAGATAGGAGTGAATGGAGACAAATGGTATTTGGGACCTGACGATCTGTTGGAGTGTGAGCAGGGTAATATTTAGTGAAGGGATTCAGGGAAACCGGTTATTTTATATAAACGGACTTGAGTCCTGGAAATGGGAAGTACAATGCCTGCACTCTAAAGGAGGGGTTTGGGATATTGGCAGTTTGGAGGGATATATTTTGTACTTTTATACGTATATACTTCTAAACTGTTGTCTTCTGGGCACCTCTGCAAAAGCAATGATTATGTGTGAGTCAGGTGAAAGTGTTGAATGATGATGAAAGTTTTTTTTTTTTGTTATTTTCTTTCTTTTTGGGTCATCCTGCCTTGGTGGGAGACGGCCGACTTGTTGAAAAAAAAAAAATAATATGATAGAAATGAAATAGGAAATTGTACAAAAATATGAGGGTTGAAGTAGTGGTGGAGGCAGTGGTTGAGGTATCGTTTATGCTGGAGTGAGCATTAGCCTCTGCACTCTTCCAAACATTTCTAAACAATTCATTGTGTTTGGTGCTTGTAGATTGAGTGTGACTGCAGTGGTTGAGGCAGTAGTTTTGAGACAGTGGCGGAGACAGTGGCAGAGGCAGGGTTATTTAATAACAATAATAATAATAATGCATGTTATTAATAATAATAATACGATAGAACTGAAGAAGGAAATTATTCAAAAATACGAGGGTTGAAGCAGTGGCGGAGGAAGTGGTTGAGGCATAGTGAGTCAGTGTGGCTTTGTTTATGTTGGAGTGAGCATTAACCTCTGCACTCTTCCAAACATTTCACAATAATTCATTGTGTTTGGTGCTTGTAGATTGAGTGCAACTACTACATAATTAACCATGGGCCCAAAGAAACTTGCTAGTGACAGCCCTTTGGTAAAGAAATTGAAAAACACGATAGAATTGAAGAAAGAAAAATTGTACAAAAATACGAGGCAGTGGTAGAGGCAGTGGTAGAGGCAGTGGTAGAGGCAGTGGTAGAGGCAGTGGTAGAGGCAGTGGTAGAGGCAGTGGTAGAGGCAGTGGTAGAGGCAGTGGTTGAGGCAGTGGTAGAGGCAGTGGTATTTAATAACATGCATGTTATTAAACCATAACATGTATGTATATAGTACAATATTTTGCGATGTTTTCATGCATTTTATGATTGTTCGTGGTTCAGCAAGTTAAGGAAGCAGCATTGTATTATATTTCCCTACAGTATATTGGGGCACCAAACATTCGCGAGGTTCTTGATCGCCTAACACCTCGCGAATGTTGAAGGAAACCTGTAACTGTATTCATGTATACCCGATTAAATTTACCTACTTACATTGCCATCTTCCCAACCACCCATGCCCTGTGGCCCCGTGGCCTGGCTGGCAAAGCTCTCGCTTCACACACTGAGGGACCAGGTTCGATTCCCGGCAGGGTTTGACGCATTTCCTTTCACTTGTCTTGTTCACCTAGCAGCCAATAGGTACCTGGGTGTTAGTTGACTGGTATGGGTCGCATCCTGGGGGGACATGATTGAAGACCCCAATGGAAATAAGACAGACAGTCCTCGATGATGCACTGCCTTTTTTAGGTTATCCTGGGTGGCTAACCCTCTGGGGTTGAAAATCTGAATGAAATCTTATCCTCCCCTCCCACACCATATTCCCCACCACCCCTCCCTGCCTTCCCCACCACCCACACAGTCTTCCCCACCACCCACTCTGTCTTCCCTTTTCACTATCTGTATCTGGTATCCTGGGCATTGCTGTCGGTCACTAACTCCTCAAAACCATGAAATTCGTCTTCACTGACACTTCCATCTGTGTTAGAACTATCACTTAGGAGGGGAAGAGTCCCAGTTTGCTGGGGGAGTGAGGTATTCCTTACCGCTAAGCATGGTGAACAAGGCAAACTGAATTGACACTCCCACAATGCACTGCGGCCTCCCCGATTTTTTTTATACTGCGCACACTGACCACAGACCAGCTTTCTCCCACTAGATTTGAAGCTGCTAAAATTGTGGTTTAATACTACGGCACCAACACTGGCTTGCAAGCTGTAATATTATGGCACCGACAGTGA